GAGCAAATCCTGGTTTACGAGCACCAAGTATCATCAAAAATCATATGGCACACATGCGCTCCTTGTTTTTACTTGCGCTCGGCTTCAAAACAGGAAGCGCATGCGTGCGCTTCTTGTTGTGACGCCGAGCGCACGTCATCACAACTGAATGGTTATTCACTTTCTCACGCTGCGGAATTGTGTCTGCGGAATCGGTCTCAGTCGGCATGCCTCACTCGTATAGTCAAAATTTAGTAGAAAAGCACCACCTGAATAAGGGCATAGCAGTGCGAGCGATGAATCTGTTTAACAACAATGCAGTATCCACATTTTTGCGAAATCGAAAAGGAGGCAAAAGAGGCTGTCATTGGTTCCTTGTTAAAGTCGCACAAACAAAAAAAGATTCCAGTGACCCAACAGATAGCAGTGATTCCGTTAACTATAGTAAAAGTCGTCCTACAAAATAACCCTCCTCCTCTCCTCTCTCGTCTCCCTCACACCATCCACGATTCTTTTCAAAGGTAAAGTGCAGGCTAATTTGTTTTATGTATTTTTACTTTATATTTTGTATTAATAATTTTTATATGAATATTTTTGAGTTGTGGAACGGATCATATTAGTTTCCATTATTTCTAATGGGAAAATTCGCTTTGATATACGAGTGCTTTGGATGACAAGCATGTTTCCGGAACTAATTATGCTCGTAAACCAAGGTACCACTGTATTCAGCTAGTGTAAAAAATGCACAATGCTATCACAGTGATTGCGAGGCTGAGACTAAAGCTTTACCCTTTGTTTCTGCTGAGAGACTCATTTCCCCAAGCATACAAGTTATCTTAGGTCGGCGTTCACGGTTTGACTTCTGAGATTCAGATCAAGCTCTAGGTAATTTTTTTTTTTTTAACTGGTTGGTTTGACTTTTAAGAAATTCGAGTTCTAATGAGTTCAAGAACTGAGGTATCACTGTATTACAGTTCCTTTTTCTAATATCATTGTTAAAGTAATGTTGCACTTGAAGATATCTCTAAAAAAATCCTTATTATCCAAATTATTTTTTTCTTTTAGAACCTGAAAATTTAGCAACTAGTCCTCATCCATTATTGTACAAAGGGCCGTAAGTCCTTTTGTAATCCAATTTCGGAATTCCTTATCCAATCTATTACGATGGAACTATTACGAGGAGCTATGGTAATAACTTCTGAACCATAGCCATCAGACACAGGTGACTTTGTTACTTTTAAGCTAAGTTAAGTTCTTTTATGGATATAACTGCAGTCAATGTTTTATTTTGGTCTTCAGTAAATATTTTCAAGAAGGCATCAATATGTTTTGAGAGCTGGGCTCTGTAGATAAATTCTCATAATATTCTGTGAACATGAATTTTGACCTATTTATATGATACATTATTACTATTAGGAATTCATATTTTATAAATTGTGTTATCTTTTCTTTGTTTTTGAATCCGTCTCACCAAATACTACATTGATTTTGCTCCAGACCCATAGTACCTTTGTTTTGTAAAGAGCATGTTTTTTCGATTTCTTGTGTATGTAAAATATCCATTTCATTTCTAACTTTATTTCTTCCAATATTAATGGAACCTGTTTCACTTTGTTTCACTTCCAGATCTTTCAATGTTGAGTTCAGATCAAATAGTCCCTATTGTTTTTACCCTTTTCTTTGTATGTGCTCAAAGCATTTCCAAAGTACCACTTTTAGTGTATCCCATATTTTTTCCAGTCCTACTTCCCCATTATGATTTTCTCCTAAAAACGTTTTAATTTCCTGTTTAATTTGTTCTTTAAATTGGGGGTCATTCATTGGGTCATTGGGAGTCCAGAATTTAGCTTCCATATTGTATTGTTACTTTTATTATTCAGCTGTATTAATAATGAGATTGTAGCATGGTGTGCAAGGTCAATTCTGCCAATATCACAATCTTGCACTCTATGTCTGTCTCTCTTGAACATAAAAAGGCAATCAGTCCGTGAGTACACTGAGTGAGGGTTGGAGTAATGAGTATAATCATGCCCATTTGGATATAAATCTCTCCAAACATCTATTATTCCAAACTCATCAAAAAGCTTTCTATGCAATGGCTGTGTTTTTTGTGTTGTCACATTTGTTGAATCTAGTCTGGGATTAATATGCACATTCCAGTCTCCTCCACATATCAATACATCATACTAAACATTTTCTGATAAAAACCGATACCACTGCCAGGGGGGACTAAACATTAAACAATGTTAAGAGGATCCCTCCATCTGTCCTGGTACTAAAATATACCTCCCTTCTGTATCCTTCTTTTCTGTCAAAAATTCAAACGGTACCTTGTGAGCTATTAATATTGCAACCCCCCCTCCTCTGGCCAGATTTATATGACACAGAGTTGCTTGCAAGGGAATTCCTGACTCCCCTGTGGAGGACTGCCCTCAAAGGCGGCAAAACAATACTAACTTAGAAAGGCAAGTGATGTAAACAATTTTCAAAGCAGTGATAGAATTAATCGCACTCATCACAGATTCTTTCATCTAACCCAACATTACAATTTCCTAATCTTTTAAGGAGAAAGAACAATAAGTAGATAAATAAGAGGACAGTTAATACAATTTAGAAATGATCTTGGCGAGGAGACACATGTCAGTATTAATAAGCAAGGCAGTGTTACCCGATCAATGTATTAAAGGCTAAGTCAGTTGCTCAATTATCCATCAGAGATTTCTGTCTGAAGAACTGCAACTTTTCCTTATAAAAGGGTTTCACCGGTTTGTCTAAGCTGTTATCACTAGCATGTCTTCCAGCATTTATTTGATGCTAGACCTCTCTTCAAACCAAGGAAGATCACCAGCAGATTGGACAAGGTAATTATACAAACCCCATTTCCAGAAAAGTTGGGATATTTTCTAAAATGCAATAAAAACAAAAATCACGTGATTCACGTGAATCTTTAATTGACAAAAGGAAACATTTACAACAGTTGTACTGATCAACTCAATTGTACTTTGTAAATATATGCAAAGTTAGAATTTGATGCTGCAAAACATACAACAAAAGTTGGGACTGTTAAAATTCCAGTAATACCAGTTTGGAAGACTCCACATTAAGCAGGTGAGGTATTATGATTGGGTATAAAAGTAGCTTCCATCAATGACTCAGTCTTTACAAGCAAGGATGGGGACGTGGTTCACCCCTTTGTGCCAAAATTTGACAGACTACTGTTAGTCAGTTCAAAAGGAACATTCCTCAAAGCAAAAACGCAGAGAATTCAGGTCTTGCATCACGTGCAGTATGTGATATCGTAAAAAGATTTTAAAAATGCAGAGACATCTCTAAATGGCAAGGTGGGAAACCACTGTTGAATGTGTGTGATCTTCAAGCCCTCAGGGGACACTGCCCAAGAAACCATTATGCCATTGAGACACTGTGTGTCACTTAACACAGTCCATCGCTGCATCCAGAAATGCAACTTGAAACTATTATGCAAGGAGGAAGTCATACATTAACTATATGCAGAAACGCTGGTGAGTTCTCTGGGCCCAAACTCATCTCAGGTGGGTTGAACGACTGTGGAACCATGTGCTGTGGTCAGATGTGTCCAAATTTCAGCGTGTTTTCAGAAAAATTGGCGCCAGGTTCTCCGTGCCAAAGATGAAATCGACCATCCCAATTGCAGTCTGTGAAAGGTGCACAAGTCACCATCTGTGATGGTATGGGGTTGCATCAATGCCAAAGGCATGGGTGAATTGCATGTGTGTGAAGGTACCATTGACTCTTAGGTGTATTTTAGGATTTTAGAGAGACATGTTGCCATTAAGGTGACATCTCTTCCTGGGACGTCCAAGCTTATTTCAGCAGGACAATGCCAGACCACATTCTGCATGGGCTACAACAGCATGACTTCGTAGACACAGACTGCATGTGCTTGACTGGCCTGCTCCCAATGCAGATCTGTCTCCTGTTGAAAATGTATGGCGCATCATGAAGAGGAGAATCACACAACGGTGATCACGTACTGTTGAGAAGCTGAAGTCTTACGTCATGCAAGAATGGACAAAATTTCCAAACGCAAAATTACTACAATTAGTGTCCTCAGTTCCAAAACAATCAAAAAGTGTTATTAAAAGGAATGGTGATGTAACAAAATGGTAAATATGCCTCTGTCCCAACTTTTATTGAATATGTTACAGCCATCTTTGCGTATATTTACAAAATACAATTACTTTGGTCAGTTCAACTATTGAAAATCTTTTCTTTGTACCCTTTTCAGTTAAAGGTTCATGTGAATAAACAAATCACATATTTTTGTTTTTATTGCATTTTAGAAAATATCCCAACTTTCAGGAAATGGGGTTTGTAGGTAGAATCAACAAAAACAAGCAAGAAATGGCAACAATAGACTACAGTATCCAGATAATTTTGGGGGCCGTTGTAGCCCACCTCTGAGGTGCAGCAGGGAAACAGTATGTTTGTTTCAGCCTAAACAATCTTTTTGCTGTTTTACTTGAAAAATGTGTTTAGGGTATTTATCTATAATACAGCTGCAATTTTGTTTCACATTTCCTTAAGGAACTTCATAAAATTGACATTATTGAGCATGGCTTAAGTGTCCGCGTAGTTTATTGGGCTATAGTATTTCTGCAGTGTAAGGGTTTAATGTAGTCCCAGGCCTGGTTGTTCAGAAGTAATTTGATTCAGTCTTAGATAGGATCAAATTTTGAAAATGAGTTCCAAAAGAAAAAAGGATTCTGAAATTGATCACCTAATCCAGTCTTGGTTTTCATTTGGATCTGTTCAACATATTCAGTGTATTTTTATATAATGTATATTTTGTTTTTATATTTGTTTTTGTTGCTTTGAAAACGATGGATTACCTGATCCTAGATAAGAAAACATTGGATTTCCAAATCCGGATAATTCTGATCCAGATTAAATTTAACAATCAGATTCTGGTAATAAGCAGCTTGCACTCTGATGACTAAGTACAACACCAGTGATCTTTGCCCCCCCCCCCCCCTTGGCAGGTGGATGCCTGGGCTCAGTCAAACTCCATTCCAGGCCTCTTCACGGGCTCCACTGGTGCCCAGGTGCTGTCTTCTGAGGAGCTGTCCAACAGTGGCCCACAGGCATGGATTAAGAAGGTAAGCCCCTTTACCCTGCCCCCCCAGCCCCTGATGGGGTTTCCTTGTGTGCTCTCCAGATACAGCATGATGCACCAGGTACAGGTAACTCTTGCTAGTCAACAGCTGTGACTTATCTTGAATGGGTGCAAAATATTTATTTATAATTTAGCCTTTTGATTAATGTTTAAAATTAGAATTTAGATTAGCCATTACCTGTGTTTCATAGCGGTTTCAGTGTCTGCTCCAGTTCAGGAAGATGCCTCATGTTGACTTGACTCTGCAAGCATGGCTTGCACACAAGAACACACTGAGAACTTTCATTGTCTTAATGTCTTAAAAAGCAAACATACAGAGTGAAGCCTGACCCCCCCAACCCCCTCCCCTCAGTGTGTCACTGTGCTGTCTGTGCACGGCTGTACCCGTTTCAACATGCTCACAGTCTGCGCTGGTTCTCATGCATGGTGTGAGTTCCAGGCCCCACTCAATACTGGTGTTCAATTAGAGGAACTTGGCCATTAATGTATTATTTCCTGTATGAGTGCGCTTGTTTGCTGTCGCTGCACATTTTAATTTTCCTTACATATGCAGTCATGCAATGCATGAAAACCAGCTAGCCCCCCCCCCCCCCCCCCCCGGGAAAGGCCTTTGGGAGAGCGTGCGTGCAGGGTGTAGTCACCAGTGGTGAACACACAGGGATGCAGGTGTGTTTGTGTGACGTTCTGTCAAAGCAGGTGCAATTACAGGATGGGGTCTCTCCTATCTGCAAGGGGCCTTTGCTAAAACACAGAGAGAATGAGAAAGAGGAGGATGAGAGATGGAAGTAAGTACGCCTTGTGACGAACACCCCTCCCCCTCGGTGCCTCATCCAGGACAACTGGCACCCAGTGCCCTCTCTACACACTCCCCTGCGACACCCATGAAGTTTAATCCATCGTCACCTGCTGCACCTTCTTCTGTTGGCTGTGGCATGCAGATGACAGCTTTGCATAGATTAAAGGGGACTCTGCAGTTTTTTTGTAATTACATTTATTTGTGGCCTTGGGGTGTGGGGGGAGGAAATTTCCCACCTGTACAATGATAACATGGAATGAGGTCCGTCATGACGTAGGGGTGGGTGCCAGCTGGTGTGGGGACGCTCCGGGGTGTGGGGCTATGGGGAGAGGTGGAGGTTCACAGTCTGACCTGTGAACTTTCACCCCTCTGTATGGAAACTTGTTTCAGGGTCAGTCCTTGTAGCTGCCTTGTTGCCATGGTCACTGTCAGGCCCTGTCATTCACAAGCGATGCACGGCCGATGATAAGGGGCCAAGGTACGTACGCCAACCACAGCCTTATGTCTATATCTGTGTGCATCTGTGTATGTACAAGACATTCTGCAATGGCCTGACTGCACCGAGTGCTTGTTTGCATAATGTATCTTCTCCGGTTAAATAAGTTAAATGCTCACTCAAATGAGTTATTTCTTTAATAACATTACAGATTTATCTGTTACTTGCATGTTTTATAAATTAATGTTTTGCTCGTCTTGTTGCTAGTTTAGCTTTAGGGGCTTGGCGCGGTGCCAGCCTGCATGACTGACAGCTGTCATTCGGCATAGCAGTATGTGTGTGTAGTCAGCAGGGCCTACCGGCCACACTCAACTGAGGAGGGACATTACTGCATTGCCGTTGAGCACGGTACTTAATGTGTGGGTTTGCTGAAACAGTGAGAGGCTGCAGGTCAGAGGAGTCTCCCGTTGGCTCTGCAGGTCAGGGGTCGCCAGTCCTCTTCTCTGACAGCTGCACTACAAATTTCCTGTTGCTCTCTGGATATGCAGCCCCACCTTGCCTGGAAAAGTAGTCTGCAAGTCAAGTGGCAGCTAGAGAACCTAGCAGGCCTATGGCCTTCGGGGGGCCCTGGGACTGTATGTCTCTATCACTTCCCGTTAGAGGATGCACAGAGCCCCTGGTCAAGGGTGTGACATGAAGCCCTGTCTTGCAGGCGTCTGCCGTGATACTGTCAATGGCAGTATTAGTGCTCAGCAGTTTACTTTCCCTTCCTGTATGTGCTCCCCACCCACCCTCCCCTCCCCCCAGGATCAGTTCCTACGTGCTGCACCTGTCTCAGGCGGCGTGGGAGAGTTTCTGATGAGGAAAATGGGCTGGCGCGCTGGTGAAGGACTAGGCAAATATAGGGAAGGCACCGTGGAGCCCATCGTCATCGACTTCAAGACGGACCGCAAAGGTAAGAGTGGGCAGGACAGGCGAGCAGCTAACCGTGCCCTTTAGCCGAGGGGAGTGACACACAGATATTACATGACTACCTCTATCTGCTTGTGGTCATGTCTGCATGTTCATGCTGCACAGGGCTGGTGGCTGATGGGGAGAAGATGCAAAAGTCTGGCAGTCTAGTTGTGATGAAAGACCTGCTGGGTGAGTCAGTCCTGATGCAAAAAACTTGAGTTTCTGGGTTTGCTGTGGGGGAGGGGTTAATAAACCATGTACCCTTGTCAGGTAAACACCCAGTATCTGCTCTTATGGAGATCTGTAACAAGAAAAAGTGGGCACCCCCTGAGTTTATCATGGTCCATCACAGTGGGCCTGACCATCGTAAGAATTTCCTCTTCAAGGTAGGCATGTTCCACATTGTCTCTGCACATAAGCACATGACTGTGATGCCTTCCTCCCTCACTATGGCTGCCAACAGGTAGTGGTCAACGGTACAGATTACCAGCCCCAGACGGCCAGTCCCAACAAGAAGCATGCCAAAGCCATGGCTGCCACCGTGGCCCTGCAGGCCATGGGTGAGGTGTCCGGGGAGACCATGCATGCTGGCCCTGTCTTCACTGCTGCCACCTCCACTGGCTGACTGCGACCCTGCATGCGAGAAAACCCCCTTAGCTGGTCAGCGCTGACATAACGTCTCCTAATTGGTGAACTAATTTTTTCTTCTGACACAGTTATGTCAATACCCACTGTATTAACTGCAGAACCATCTTCCAGATGGGTTTTGCTAATGTACATGTTCAGGGAGAGAGATGTCGGCTACTGTGCATTCAGTGAGTGTGGCTTATCTTTTGCCATTTCAGGTCATGCTGAAACACTGTTTGTAAATCACATTGAAGGATTGTTTTTATCTTTAGTCGTAAGGCTGGGGATGGGAGCTTTTAATTTTTTAATGGTTTCACTGAATGGTCAAGACTAATACCTTCTGGAATCTGCATTGTTGCCACCTTTTTTATAAAAACTTTGGATGACAGCTATTTGCTGGATGCATGCTGTTTTCCTGACCAAATAAACCTTATCTTGAATTACCAGCTCAGATTCTGTGAATGGTTCTGGTGAATGTTTCATTACAGCAATTCGAGTATTCAGTGTTCCATGGGAGTAACAGCAGAACCTCTACACCAGCACATGTAACCTAGCAGGTTAATAGTAATGTTCTTAACTAGTATGCCTTTGCTGCCCAATCCTTTTGCATTTGTCTAAGCCTAATACACAAAAATACATAGCTCAACATGCATGTATTTGTGAAGAAAAAGTTAAATGTTAAATTGTGGACAGCTGTCACATTCTTCTTTTAAACTAAGACCATCAACTGACAGTGTCCCTCAAGCACACCAGCAGCAGAATTTTACAAAAGTGTAGTTAGTTTAAAATCAGTTTAATCACAAAATCCATGTATGTGGAAATCCTCCATCAGGCAGGTTATTCTGTATTGCAACAGCAGCCATACTCCTGATGGCCTTATGAAATGTGTATCTATCACCTGCTGCAGAAGAGTTGATGTGTCGATCACTCTGTAAAAATGTCCTTCCGCAGCTGTCGGGTGCCTACTAGGTCCTACAGCAGATAAAGAACATTGACATAGATTGAGGAGATCTATGTGCATCCGAGGGCCTTATTGGTATCCAGAGCTGGCCGTGCTCCTACTGACTGCTGGAGCCCAGGCCCTGCTCCACTTGCTTGTACAGAGCTTCCTGAGCATAAGGCTGTACCAGCAGTGCAGAATGTTAGAAACTAGGTCCAATGAAGGTGATTCAGTGCTGGGATCTTAGAGGATCAAGCCCCTAGGGAAAGGAGCAGGCCATGTGGGACTTCATCAGGTCCTCCACGAGTAGGAGTAGTCATCCATGTCGAGCTGCCTGAGCACAGACCTGCCCAAGCGAGCTGGCTCCGCTAACTGCTGCACCGTGCTGAGGGCCAAGCCGCATGCTTCCAACTCCTGAGCAAGCTTCTCCTGAAGAGAAAAGAGCATTCATGTAAGGCCTCACATGAGAAAGTTTCAGACTACCTTTCGAAACTGCAAGGTTGACATTGACAAGGATTTGGTACCTGTTCCATACTCTTATGTCCATTTCAAACAACAAATATTGGTTGGCTTGAGCATACTGGTAATACATGGAACAGCCTTCTCAGGTACATCTGGAGTTACTGGATTTTTTTTTTTACTTTAAAGATGACTAGTCAGCATTTTTAAGGTGTTTCACCTAAATCTCAGCAAAATAGCTAGCACTTTATGGCTCATTCTCTGGACTTTGACCTGTTGTGTGTCCATCCTGGGGGAACCAAGTGAGGTATTAAGCACAGCGGTGGGCTCGTGGGTGTACAGCCCCACAGAGAAGCGACCTCTCTGAGCAATGCGCAGTAGCTGACTCAAGCCATGGAGAGTGTGAGGCATCACAGGGCCGCTGACTTCCAAGCTGAACATATCCTGGTATCCATTTTGCACCTGGGTCTTCACAGTCACACTGCGAACCTGTGATAGGAGGCAGGCACTTCAGAACTGGCCTTCTAACGTGGAGTAGCTTTGACAGGAGAGTCATATTACAACTCATTCTTCAGGATAGAAGGGGTAAAAGGTCTATCACCTTAAGTGTCTGCAGTGTAGCTCCCCGAAATGCCACAGGGGCTAGCAGTGTAGGGGGCAGGCCTGCCTGCACTCCCGAAGCTGCCACCAAGTTTTTGTAGTTGATGAAAAAATTGAGGAGCGTGAAGGTGTCGGTACCCTTCACCAGAACCATCGACTGGGGCCTGCGGTCCAGCTGCACCTCCCTGTGCTCCTTACGGCTGAGATCAGGGCTCAAGGAAAAATCTGCATGTGACATTACTAGACTTTAAACATTAGTTTGTTCGGCCAAACAGATTTGCATCCGAGGGTACTGACTATGTTAGGTAAGAATCCTTTTTGCACGCATGAATACACTAGGGTTACCGTGATTAGTCGACGTAGGCGATAACAATGCTGAAAATGGGTCGACATCAATATTTCAAATGAATGCATCTTAAAATTATTTTAATAAAATTACCATTATGATTTCTAAAATGGTTCAATTCATTATAAGAAATGTTTTCCTTTAATATCACTACGTAATTATGGGAGTAGCTCATTATCACAAATGGTTGCTTTTACACTGCAAAGTGCGATGGCATACCATAACGGCACCAATGCTATGTGCTATGCACCAGCACCTGAAGAGGAAACACATCAGGTCAGGTTACGGAGCATGTGCTGATGCAGCACATTGCCGCACCCACCACATGGTGAAACTCCTCTGGATCCTGACTGGCGACCCCCCAAGCACACCCACGGTCCAGTCTCACCCTCTAGAAGTGACCATCTATCTGCCACAGCCAGATATTACATGGGCATCCCCTCTGCCTGGTCCATCCCCTCGGGTCCTCAGCAACGAGGATCCTGTGAGCAGGGTCACCCTCACGTAAATGCGCCACATGGTCATAGTGCCATAACAGACGTGACCTTAAAATGCAGGTAATGTGCCTCATTTGGGACTCCGCTAGCAACCACTCCTTCGACAAAAAGTCAAACCAGCGTTACCCAAGGATTCTCCAACGAGACACAGTACCGAAGGAGTCTAGTCTTCATCTCAGCTCACTGGAAGGCGTCCATGTCTCACAGCCATACAGCAAGACAGGGAGCACGAGGACTCTGAGGATTTGGACCTTCATCCTCTTGCAAAGATATCAGGATAGCCACACACCCGTTTCCAGCTACCTCATGACCCCCATGCTCTCCCAATCCATCTGCTGACTTCATAGGAAGAGTCACCAGAGACATGAATGTCGATGCCGAGGTAGGTAAATCTCTCGACAAGGTCAACATTCTCCCCGCAGACAGATACACTGATGGCTGTGCTTAAGAAGTCATTAAAGGCCTGGATCTTGGTTTTTATCCAGGAGACTCGCAATCCCAGGATATCCCACAGGGTAACTCGATCAACTGAGTCAAACGCTTTATGGAAATCGACAACGGCTGCAAAGAACCTCTGCTGATATTCACGCTTGCGCTCAATGAGAACCCTCAGTGCCAGGATGCAGTCGATCATAGACTTCTTAACCACAAAACCAGACTGCTCTGGCTGCTGATAGGCGAGCAAGTGATTATGGATCCTGTTAAGGATGCTAAGGATGATCCGGCCCTGAGAGCAGTGTTATCCCCCTGTAGTTGCCACAATCCAGGCGATCACACTTACCTTTTTCACACAGGGACTACAAGTCCCGTTTTCCAGTTAGTTGGGATGATGCCTGACACTCAAATGGAAGCAAAGATTGCCTGCAATGCCAGGAGGACAGCCTTACCATCACCCTGAAGAAGCCTTCTCTATGCCCAGCTGATTCACCACCCGTGCAATCTCAGTGAGACTGGGTGGTTCACAACTGAATCAGCCTCGAGAACCGTGGACCTAGAGACGTCCAATGTCCTAGCCAGAGGGTCAGCTTTAAACAACTGCTCAAAGTATCCGGCCCAGCAGGTCACAACTGCAGTGTCATCTGTAAGGACTGTTCCATCACCTGCCCTAACTGCAAGTCACCATGGAACAGATTCAGATATATATAATGCTTCGATTCTTCTGTAAGCAGGATATGGGTCACTAGACCACAAATGGTGTGGTGGGAACACCAGTAACACCAACACAACCCTCAGCAACCTTCAGGACCTTATCATGGAAGGTCTCCCACATCACATTAGTGTTGGGAGTTGCACCCAAGTCTGCAATTTCCTTATAAAAACTATACAAAAACTCATCAGAAACAGCTTGATCTTGGAGTCTGACCAAATCCAGCCTTATTCTCCTAGTAGGTGATAGCTTAATGCAGTGTTTCCCAACCCAGTCCTCAGGGAACCCCAGACAGTCCAAGTTTTGCTTCCTCTCAGCTCCTAGCACACCTGTATCAGGTATTCGGTGTTCCCGATTAGCTGGGAGCTGGGAGCGAGCAAAAATGTGGACTGGCTTAAGTGGATCTATGCGGAATCACTCAGGTGCTATTCTGGATGGTGGACTGCCAGAATAGGCAAAACCACCCTAAGTGCTGTCTATTCATGTTTCTTAAATTAGCATTAGAATGAAGGTTTTCATTTTGTATCTTTTGACCTAAATATACTCATTATTATTAAAGCCATAAAGTTGTCTGCTTGCTACATTAATAACGTATAGGTTTTTGTGAAAATGTTTAGGCTATAATTTGGGCTTATTCTACACTGATTGACAGTGCCAATGTGTACATTTATGTGCGTTGGACTAACCAAATTTATTAAGCATAAGGATCTGGCAAATTAATACAGATAACTAACTTTTGGGCATCACAATATGCATCTAATTAATATTTTTAGGCATGATACTAATCTACTTTTTGAATTGTGGGTGAAAATAATGTCTGGAATACATTACATACATCAAAAGCCCAGCAATTGGAGATACAGTTTGATGTCAAAATAAAATTAACTTAAATTCAGTTAATTTTGTAGTAGTTGTAGTTGTAGTCCTGTGACCAAAAGCACAGCATGCAGAACCTTTGATTTTTGCATTAAAATTTGTCACCACTATAAAAACAGAACACCCCATGGACACTTAGCAAAGGATACAGTTTAATGGACACAGAATCAGGTTTGTTTATCTGGTCCTGTACACCCATTTCCTTCAGCCAGGAAAAACTGGCATCATCATCATCATCCTCTGCTTCACTCTGCTCCTTAAGTCTGCAACAGCAATGGCACGATAATATAAGCCGAATAGTAACGTCCCTCCTTAACTACACAGGCGCTTTCCCACCACAGGAATCACAACTTAGGTTAGTTGAGCTAAATCTGTTCAGCCTCAAGCAAAGGAGACTGAGGGGGGACATGATCCAGGTCTATAAGATTCTAACAGGTTTGGATGCTGTTCAACCGAATAGTTACTTCAGCATTAGTTCAAATACAAGAACTCGTGGCCATAGGTGGAAATTAGCGGGAGAACATTTCAAACTGGATTTAAGGAAGCACTTCTTTACACAGCGTGTAGTCAGAGTATGGAATAGTCTTCCTGATAACGTAGTGCAAGCTGAATCCTTGGGTTCCTTTAAATCAGAGCTAGATAAGATTTTAACAACTCTAAGCTAATAGTTAAGTTCTCCCCAAGCGAGCTCAATGGGCCGAATGGCCTCCTCTCGTTTGTATAGTTCTTATGTTCTTATGTTCTTAAATTTGTTGTTGTTGTAGTAAAGTTTAACTTTTGAGCTTTGTGCTTCTCCCAGGCATAAAGTTTAGAGTTCCTGTTGTGCGTTAGGAAAGTGACACACAAAAGTGGCCTGAAACTACAAACGTTCCCGGTCAAGATGACCCAGGGACTCAGAATGGGGAACTAGGTTCCTGAACTTTGGTGGGAAAGCGCCTTATTATTCACACACAAAATCAGCTAGAGACAAGCAATTCATCAGATAAACATCAACTATTTACAATGGCGAATAAACAGATCATGCATTTCCCTCCCATTGTAGTTTGATCATGTTGTATCAAACAGTCTTTCTCCTGATAATTGCACAAAGAAAACAAACAGATCACTTTCTTCAGAGTATGAGAAAAAGGAATAGCTGATAATCATGTACAAACAGGACATCTCTTCACGGAAGTTTAGACTTACTACTGAGCACCTTATCAATTGAGCTGCTACTGAGTAAACTGCTCAGCTGCGATTTACAGATTAAAGACCCACACAGAGTGACACTTACTCTGTATATGGTTCTTCTGTGTATTCATGTTTACCCTGATCTTCTATTTTCTTCTTTTCCTCCAGCAGGGGAAGTGTGAACTCAATTCCTGCAATCAGGTGTAAACATCACAGTGCGTATGTGTGTGTCACACAGTGGGATGCGGATGGAGGAGGAGAAGCCACAGCGGCATGCTCACCCTCAGCCCGCATGGCCTCCCGTAGCCCCAGTGTGGTGGACGACAGCACAGCCGTGATGCCGTCAGTGCCACTCATGCCAGCAGCACGGAACAGCACAGTGAACTGGTAAGTGCAAAGGTAGAAGTAGGGGCAGAGGCGCGCCCGCACCAGGCTGTATAGGGAGGTGACACTCTGCGACCTGGGCCACAAGCAGCATGCCAAAAAGACAAGCTCACAAAGAGAAACAAGTTGCTGCTTCACGAAACACCTAAGCTGCAGTTAAAGCTCGTTGTACATAATGACTCTCCTGCTGTGAAAACATGAGCTGCATAACCTGACAGTGTGCCTCAGTGATCAGAAGGTTACCTGTTCAAATCCCGTATGTATGCTAAATAAATGTAAATAAGGTGAAGATTTGAACTGCTAAATCAGGGCCCATTTTTGTCATACTGGACAACACAGGACTGGAACTGGCCTTACCAGTCATTCATCAGGCTCTGTTGCAGAGCCTCATCCTGCAACCAGGGCATGCTCTTCCCAGAGAGCTTCTTCTCGACACCAATGCGAGGGAACAGCGGCAGCCAGGACAAGGAAGGGTGCTGCCAGTAGACCAGACACTGCTGGAAGGCACAGCGCAGCTCAACACTGGTGCGAGGCTCCTGTATCCAGGACAACAAACAACAATCACTGAGGCAATATTATGATACATCCATACACATAACAATCCTTCAGTAAAGCACTTACCAGTCTGTGTAATAGAAAACAATATGATACCTGTATGTCCACATATAGACTGCTTTGCATATGCATGTCTAAAATTAACTGGACCTGTATATGCAGGGATCATTTTTCTCTGTGTGTGACTGCGATGTGTATTTCATACCTGAATCTGTGCACAGTGGTTGCAATATTTCGTACCTGGATCGGTGCAGGCAGGCTGCAGTATTTCATACCTGGATCTGTGCAGGCAGGTTGCAGTGTGTCGCCCGGCAGCTCTGTGTGAGCCCCAGTGCCACTTCCTGCGCCTTCAAGTGTTCGGCCCAGGAGAAGCTGAGGGGCGACATGATAAGCAGCCGCGTCTTCAGGCTCCAGTCTGCCGGATAGTCCCCAGGGGGGGTAGCACCATTGACTGCGGGCGCGTTACCGCTCTGCGGATAGAGAGAAACGACTCTCTGGTTTATTACAATACGAAAACTCCCAGAAAAATTCTCATGTTGGTGGATTTATAAGTACCGGGTAGGCTGCGGACGGTCTCCCTTCGCCCGAAAACAAATCATCGAACACGGAGTCATCGTCACTGAGAGAAAGCGGCTTCTGGGCGACAAAGAGAGCTAAAGTAGTTGTGAACGGTAACGAGGTGTGGGGTACATCGTATTAGATTTAAGAAGTAGGTCGTGTTATGATTTCAAATAATTCTATTAATTAGAATTATTGTGAAATCATAACACGGCCTAAGGACTAAATATTGACAGAACTAAATACGTTCGTTGAATCGGTAATGGTTAAGCCCCGTTTACCAACCTTTTGATCAGCTCTTTCAGCCCGTGTAAGGAGCTGTCCAAGCGGCACAGGCGCAGAGGGACCATCTTCCCCGGCCTCAATGATGGGCTTCCGCTCAGTGTGGTCCGCATCCCCACCCGGACTCAGAATGGCTCGCCTCTTCGGCTTACTGTGTGTGTTCTCGACATTGGCGAATGGATTCCTGCGCTTAACTCCGCCACCGGATAGTTTCGGTGAGCCAAAGAGCGGTCCGGGCGAAAACGGCCTGACTCCCGGTACTGACACGCCGGGACTACTCCCAGCGACTCGACCGGCTGCACCCACTCCCTCGCTGCGAGTTCTCTTCCTGCAAATCCGCAGAATGTCAGCGGGCCTCTTGAAACTCGGGGAATATCCTTCTTGTTCAGACATTTTAAGATCTCCCAAACACGCTCTTGTCGGTGTCTACACTGTACACCAATACAGTACAAATTTGGCGCGTAACATATTAATGACACGGATGTTACGACAAGCGTATCGGGCGGGTTCTTCTTGCCGTTCTGTTTTTGAATTGGCTTATCGGAATCTCATATGATCCAATCAGGATACATATTGGCATTTAACTCTTCCTTTGCCGAATAAACAGATCTGTGGTATGTTTCTAACTACTATATATGATTAAGAATAAAATGTCTATAGCGTGCAAATCGCTGTAAATATACGCCCTTTTTTAGCCAAAAATCAGTGGTAAAAGTGCCCAGTTAAGAAACTAGTTTAATTTGTGTTTTGTCGAGCTATACTATAGGCTAAATTCCATGTGCAACCCAAAAATGTTGCCACTAGAGTGCAGTGTTAATGTAAGTATTACTTTGAATCGAATGTGCATTGTTTTTCATCCTAATCAGGTCATTCATGCATGAGTCGTACATTAACTAGTACATAGAATTGTTTACGGAATTAATATTTTTATGAATTATCAATAAAACACAAAGTATAAATTGTATCGTGGACCAATTTTCGCAACTCATTGGTGTAATGCTATAGAGACATGGCCCATTCTCCATTTTGAGTGGGAATTGAGGTGGATACATTTTAAAGATCACTTTCATTAATCCAAAAGGTAAACCGCCTTAATATGTGTGTTTTTTCACCATGATGAAAATTTAAGAGCTTAATTCCAAATATATTTTAATATATTTTAAAGGAAAATGTAAACCATGTAATTATTGAACCGTATCATAACTGCAACACCCGTGACGCACCATATAACACCAGCGACAGAAATTAACTTAATTTCTGATCATTCATCGCATTAACATGTTAGTTATTGGAGTCATAGATATGATGTAGCACCAGTGACATTTTGACTAAAATGGAATAATTTTTTTAATGGCTGCCCCATAGGTGGTAATGAGACACACATGGAACCCTAGTGGAGACTGCACCACCATACCTCCCCCACATGATGAAATACGTTATTTAATCAAGTATTAACTATAACTAATCATGTACATGCTGACTCTTGGAGTTGTACCTAATATTTTAAGCCCTGCAACCTCTGTGACATGGTTTCCCACTCCAAATGAAGAATGACCCACAGCTGCCCACCACAGGGGCCCCTGAAATTCACCCCAGAGGGTTTTGCCTTGGCTCTCTGGAGCTGGGGTTGTGGGCCCCACATGCACACCTCAGTGCCGTTGCCCCTTTAAAACATCTGTCTAGGGCTGAGAGACAGAACTCCGGAGTTTGAGGTCGTGTGCTCGAATCCAGCTTCAGCCGTACTTCCAAAATAACTTAAATTGCCCTGCTTGGCATAAATATAATACAAAACAAATACATTTATTATATGTCACATCTTTATTATTATATATCACAATTATTAGTAATTTATGATATAATATGTAGAGGTCATGGGTCATCCAGCTCCAGCCTTATCTCTGAAATAGCTCTGAAAAGTCATATATACACCTTATTTAGGAAAACTTACAGTATACAAGTATATAAATACTTGCATACTGTAAGTTTATATATATATACATATATATATATAATGTACAGTATACATACAGTATATAAGTAACATATAATGGAAAACACTGGGCTATGGATCAAATCCAGCTGCAGTCATAACCAACGGGGGAAAAAAAGTCTCATAAACACTTTGCTTCAGCAAAACTTTATTATATAATTTTTTAATTAATAAAAAACATACAAAATGATTAAAATAAATAATATAAAACATTTAATAATGAAATATAATAATAATGGGGTTGTGGAGTAGGAGTAGCGGCAGCTTGCTGCCCAGACAGGTCTGGAGGGGAGGAAAAGGTGAACGGCCTCAGGTCAGAATGGGTTTCTGCAGGCTCTTGCTCCTTTTGCTTGGGCTGAGGTAGAGGGGCGGCTGATGTCAGGCTGGGGTTGGGGAGAGGGATGACCATGGACAGCACAGCACGTTCGTTATGCTTACGAGAAACAAAATATTTTTAAAATAACCTCAGTCAGCATTTATCATTAAGCCGTAAAAAAAAAATCCCTCAGTTCAGCTGATCCCAAATGTTGGCTGAACACACTTACCAAACAGACAGTATACACTGGTTTATTTAGAAAAGCTGCAGTGATGTGGTCTGCATGAGCCCCGGGCTGCTCAGGACCAGCCATCTGATACTGCTGTAGTCCTGCAGGACAGCAGCCCAGTGGTTCAGCCTCACAGAGAGCAGAGCTCCAAGCAGATGACCTCCACGAGTCAGCTCAAGTGAGGCCACTGTGCAGGCCCGGTGCCTTGGCCCAGTAGACAGCTGCTCAAAAAAATGTAGAAGCTAGGCCAAGTGTAACACAGCAGCAGAGTGCATGGCTGGAAATCTGTAATATCACTGTCTACACAAATGATTCACTCACCACTTCAGGCTTTCCTTCCCTGCACACACTGATGTTTTTGAGTGGCTGGCCTTGAACCTGCCCTGAAGGAGCCACTCCCTGTGCCTCGGTGGGTAGGAGACACGCTGCCTGTCTCTCTCCGGCAGGTTGTTCCAGAGAGAGACAATTCTGGTAATGTGACTCTCTCAGACACAGGGCTCATGGCACAGCCCCACCAGGTACCTCACCAGCCTGACCACGTGGTTGTACCCCGGGGCTCCATCTGGGCCTCTGAAAACCTGTGGATTGAAACAGTGTTTATGTAAAGAACTGCATTCTCAGCAAAAAATAATGAACAGCTCAATAAATGTAAACATCTGTTGACATAATGCAAGACATAATGAAATAGAAATTTATCGATATAGTAATATAAAGCTTCCTGAAGAATTTTGGATCTTTTTAAGCAAACATGGCTGTGTCTATGTTAAAATTGCATTCTTAGCAAAAAATAATGAACAGCTCAATCAATGCAAACATCTGTTGACATAATGCAAGACATGATGAAATAGAAATTTATTGATACATTAACATAATACTTCCTAAAGAATTTTGGATCTTTTTAAGTAAACAGGGCTGTGTTTATGTTAAATTACTAGCAAGAAGTATTACTAATGACAAAGACTACATAACTTTTCTGTACAAAATATTTTTTTAAAAACCTTTGCGATATAACCCAAAACCTTTGCATTATAACCCAAAACTTTTGCGATATAACCCAAAACCTTTGCGCTATAACCCAAAACTTTTGCGACATAAGGCAAAACTGTTGTGACTTTGAACTGGAAATATGAGTAATCAGTCAGTGTAAGGAACATAATGATAGGAAAACATGGAGCGTTTAATCAAATTTTACTTTGATCTTGGTCTACAATATATGGACATTCAGTTTGTTCTCGGATCTATGCATGATGTTCACATAAGTCTGAGGCAGATTAATAGGATTTTATGCAGACATCCCAACCTGCAAAAACTCATTTCAGGGAGGCCCGCCCCCCCCCGAAGGGAAATGACTTTATTTCACACAAGAGAATTACTACGGAGCCCCTAAGGTACGGAGCCCCTAAGGTGACAATTAGGGAACAGAAAAAAAAACGGCAGAAGAAAAAAAAAAAAAAGTCATGTTTTGCGTTATAACCCAAAACTTTTGCGATATAACCCAAAACCTTTGCGTTATAACCCAAAACGTTTGCGATATAACCCAAAACCTTTGCGTTATAACCCAAAACTTTTGCGATATAACCCAAAACTTTTCCGTAGTAATGCAACAATAAAATCAGGTGACTAGTGTACTTTTGGTCATTCAAGTGCAACTTCCAAAGCCGCTGTTTGCATAATGTGGTTGATCCCCGCTTCGCTTATTAATCTAATTTAACGGTTAAAAAAAAGTAAAGATCAAAGTAAAATTTGATTAAACGCTCCATGTTTTCCTATCAATTATGTTCCTTACACTGACTGATTACTCATATATTTCCACTTCAAAGTCACAACAGTTTTGCCTTATGTCGCAAAAGTTTCGAGTTATAACGCAAAGGTTTTGGGTTATATCGCAAAAGTTTTGGTTTATAACGCAAAGGTTTTGGGTTATATCGCAAGAGTTTTGGGTTATAACGCAAAGGTTTTAGGTTATATCGCAATGGTTTTTGGTTATAATGCAAAAGTTTTGGGTTATAACGCAAAACATGACTTCTTTTTTTTTTCTTCTGCCATTTTTTTTTCTCCTCCTTTGTCCCCTTAGGGGCTCCGTAGTAACGGGCTTCCATATTGGGTGCTTTGAGACGGACAAAATTTTAACTCAATAGAATTACAAGCTATTTTAGGAAATAAAACGTTACCCCTAGTTACAACTTTTTCTGTACTACGATAAAGCCCTGCCTCTTCGCAATAAACTACCAATAGCCTGCGAAAGAGCTGACTGGTCCAGGTTCCTATTGGTGGACGCTCAGACAGTCTTTCATTTTGGATTTTCGAGTAAGTGCCTAGTGTTTGGGAAAGTATTTCAGCTGTTGTTATGGAAAATTTCAGTAAATTAATAAATCAGAACGATAAGTCGCATTTTAAATATGAACCATGTAACTACTTATGTATCAGTATCAGTTGTTAAATGAGTGAATGGATTTTTTACTAGTTACGGTAACATTTTAAAACGTTTAGCAGGAATCGAATCGAAACAGTGTGTTTATTCTTGAAGACTGCATGGTAACGGTTATATGCTTCGCTCCGGTGTGGACGCCTGGGCTGTTATCTCGTTGTTTCTAAATGTCCGCGTTATATCAACGATTAGGGAACTATCCGTATGAAACCTTCCACATTTCCCCTACCTGTCCATAGCTCACCTCGTCCTTATTGTTTCACGGCTTATTTTGCACAGGCATGTTTCCCCGAATCGGTTATGGAGAACAGCCAGTCCGATGATTCAGAGTTGGCAGGACCGTTGTGGGCCATGTTGTGGTCTGTAACGGAGGCTGCCGAGAAGCAGACACTACAGATTGGAGCCTCGGCGTGCGGGGCTACTGCTGTGGTAGACGTCCTGCAGGCGCTGGGGATTCCTGTTTCCCCGGAAACAGCTGACGAATGTGTCCAGACCCGACTACGGAGGAATGAGGCGCCACTATGGGACTACCTGCTTTCCCGTAGTGAAGCTGGTACTGCAACAAGGTCTAGTTAACGTGGTAGAACGAGATACGGAAATCCTATTACCTGCTAAATAAAATTCGTCCGTAGTGAGATTTTCGTTCTGTCATACCCAAAACCGATAATGCAAACTCTTTGAGTTCTTGTAACTTTAGTGTATGTGTCTGTGTGTGCAATTGGGCTTACATGTTTTCAAACTTATATTTTTGTGAGTATGGATGTGTCCACCCCTTCCCAGGTGCCACACAGCAACAGCTTATTGAAGGCGCAGAGCATGCCAGTGGGGGGCAGGTTGTGGGCCGCTTCTTTGCCCTCCACCCCCCTCGGCGTTTGCAACTGGTGCCTTGGTTGGCTAGCTGGATCTCCAGAGGCGCCGTTCCTGTGGCAACCATGAACATGCAGCAGGGTGTACACGAGGGTGAGGAGATACCAGATGCCTGGCATCATCAACTGGTGTTTGGGGTGGGGCCCAGTGCTGTGTACATGACCAACCCGCTGGATGTGGGTGAGTGTTTGTGTGGGCAAGTATGTTCAGCACCACTAGGCTACTCACTGCACATTCAGTAAATTATTCCAACAGGTCTGGTCCGGTTCAACCAAATAGTTATTTCAATATTAGTTCAAATACAACAACTTGTGGCCATAGGTGGAAAGTAGTGGGAGAACATTGTAAGCTGGATTTGAGAAAGCACTTCTTTACACATTGTGTAGTAAAAGTATGGAATAGTTTTCCTGTTAGTGTAGTGTAAGCTGAAAACTTGGGTTCCTTTAAATCAGAGCTAGATAAGATTTTAATAACTTTTAGTTGAATTCTCCCTAAGTGAGCTTGATGGACCAAATGGCCTCCTCTCATTTGTAAACTTCTTATGTTCTTATGTGTGTTCAGTGCTGAAAACCGCAAATCCGGAATGGCTTATTTACTGTGTGAGGTTAAGATACATAAATATAAGGGAGAGAGCTGTTAGACAACAACACAGCACATCCACATGCAAACCAAGGATGTTAATTTGTATAACGTCAGAATGAGCAAAGACCATAATAAACAAAACTGTTCAGTGAGTGAAAGGAAGCTAAATATTCTCAAAACTAAAGTATAAACACTATTTCCTTTTATCCCTTCTGAATACAGGAGAAGATACACAGAAAATCCCTCTCATTCCCACAAGTTTCAGACCAATATACACTTGTAAATACTATCATCAACTAGTCAATGTCATTAGTGTCTTCAAAAGGAGGCCTTTTGGTAGGTAGCATATTCAAATCCACGTACAGCCCCTGTGTCTCCAGGCAGATCAGTCACTCATACAAATACGAGTTAAGAAAAAACACCAAACATTAAACATATTACAAAATTTTGTAAATTGCCTGATTTAATTTTCATTCCATGTTTTGAATACATGTGTGCCTAGCTGATATGAATGTTTTCATCAAGTCACTGCAGAGCCAGCTTTAGCTATAGGTAGAATAGGCAGCTGCATAGGGCCTCCGAATTACCGGATGTTTCAGAGGAATTGAAATGATTTTCTTTCTAGGGGGGCATCCCAAGTAATGCTATGCCTAGGACTCCAGTAAAGGTAGAGGTGACCCAGAGGCATTTTAAGTGTGTATTTATGAATGTGTTTTTTTGCCTTAACAGTGAGTGAGGCAGTCATGCACAAACGGCTGTGTAGTGAGTCTGTGCTTCTGATTCGCCGAGAGGATGTCCTTCAAAGATGGCTGGCCAACACTCCCGCCAGCACACTGTCTGAAGTCAGCTCTCACCCACGGTGGACAACGCTAGATGTGGAGGGTGAGGGAGAAATCATCCACTCTATGTTAGTCAGTACGATTCCTAACGAGAAACTAGGTTCAGTGTGCCTCATGGTTGGAACCCTGTAGGCCAGTATAGTCATGCCTGTCTCTTTGTTCAGTTTTCTTAGCACTAACAAAAATTCACTGGTTGTGTTATTCTGTGTAAGAATAGTGTACTTGGGTTGATAATGTGTGACTCAGATGTATGGCAGTGGGTGCTTATATCCTGCTTCCTGTCACATTTGATTGGTAGCCCTAATGCTCTTCTATAGATGCTCTCGCATCAAAGTTCCGGAACTTGGTCCATAGTTGCAAGTTCCTGGGCTCTCTCTGACTGGGACGAATGAAAGTCCTGGCCGCTTTTGTGTGTCACTTTCACACCACAAAACAGGAACTGGGACCTTTTATGCTAAATAAGCATGGGAGACGCAAGGAGCTTGTAGGCTGAACTTCACACATAATTTCATACAAAATTACACTGTCACTCCAAAACAATGGAGGATGAAAAAGTCATTTTATTTGTTATTTATCAGGGATTGATCACAATCAAAATGGGACACAGCCTTTTATTTATATGACCCAGGGCATGTTTTTGATTCTTATAAAATATGGCCAGTAGAGCAATCTTTTGTTTTCCACAGAATAAAAAAAATCATGACGTTAATAAGCACAATGTTAGACACAAGTCAACTATTGATTGAATTTTCTGATGCAGAAATATGGAGACGCAAGCAAAAAAATATTTGATTCAATTGATGCAATAATTTAGGGCTGCACAATTTATCATAAAAAAAACAGTGATCTTGATTCACACCTCTATGCGCTCTCATTTCTACATTACAACGGTTTTTCTGCATTGTATTACATTAGCTGGATCAAAACAAGCACTTGTACTTTTCCCAGAGAGTCTCAAGCGTGCCAAAAATACAGTACTTCAAGGTGTTGGTTTTCCACTGGCGTAAATACTGCTACTGGCACTGAATGACATCACAGCGCAAGGTGGGGTATTTTGTATTGAATCCGAAAAATGGCTGTAGTACATTATAGGGCTGGCTGATGTGCGATATTAATACTAACATCGCATGTTGTGCATGTGCAATTCTTACTTCACCAGTCAGCTAGATTAAGATCAGGATTTTTCTTAAGAACATAAGAACTATACAAACGAGAGGAGGCCATTCGGCCCATCGAGCTCGCTTGGGGAGAACTTAACTAATAGCTCAGAGTTGTTAAAATCTTATCTAGCTCTGATTTAAAGGAACCCAAGGATTCAGCTTGCACTACGTTATCAGGAAGACTATTCCATACTCTGACTACACGCTGTGTAAAGAAGTGCTTCCTTAAATCCAGTTTGAAATGTTCTCCCGCTAATTTCCACCTATGGCCACGAGTTCTTGTATTTGAACTAATGCTGAAGTAACTATTCGGTTGAACAGCATCCAAACCTGTTAGAATCTTATAGACCTGGATCATGTCCCCCCTCAGTCTCCTTTGCTTGAGGCTGAACAGATTTAGCTCAAATAACCTTTCCTCGCATGACATTCCTCTAAGACCAGGAATCATTCTTGTGGCCCTACGCTGCACCTTTTCTAAGGCCGCTATGTCCTTTTTAAGATATGGTGACCAAACCTGTACACAATATTCTAGGTGAGGTCTCACCAAGGAATTGTATAATCTTAGCATTACCTCCCTTGACTTAAACTCCACACACCTGGAGATATACCCCAACATCCTATTGGCCTTTTTTATTGCTTCCCCGCACTGGCGAGAATGAGACATGGAAGCATCAACATACACACCAAGGTCTTTCTCATAATCAGCTACCTTTATTTCAGTAGGTCCCATAAAATACCTATACTTTATATTTCTGCTCCCTACATGGAGTACCTTACATTTGTCTATGTTAAATTTCATGTGCCAGGTGTCAGCCCAGTCACTAATTAAATTAAGATCCCGCTGTAGCTGCTGAGCCGCTAGTTCAGTATCTGCTACACCACCCACCTTGGTGTCTACTACTTACTTTCAATTCTTTATACAGGGAGTTTAAATTTGGCAGTTTTATTTTGTCATAGGGGAAAAATGATCAGGTTTTGCAATTTTTATTATTATTACTTTTCAAGATTATCTAGTATATGTTTAAAAATCAGTTTAAAGTTTTACCTTCACTACTTTTGCATGAGCGCTGCATGCGTTCTCTGTGACAATCATAATCATTTTCATCCTTGCTGTTTAAATCCTCCTAGATGGGTTTTTGAGAAATTTATGGCAAATTTCATTTTTTTTTTTTGTTTTATTAATACAGCAATATTTTTTACAATAAAATCACATTGCAGTACTTCAAATAACGCGCTGTCCATATATATACAAAATACTTTATTTCTTTTTATGCTATTCTGATCTCTGGTTCTTCCAACCATATTGCAGTTAAAACTTGGGTCACTTCATTTGTCCATGTATCCAGTATAATTATTACTGTTATTTACTTAATTTATTGTTGTTTTCTGAGTTCGCAACTGTCTCCAAGATGGCGGTCATGCTGTGTTTCAGAGGCGGGCTATTTGCATAACCTGTCGACAAAGAAAGCATTTCGTCCCACCCCAAAGTCCCGAAGTACCAAAAAAAGTACCTCACTGGCACTTTTGGTAATGGCTATTTTGTTTACCCTAATTGAATGGCCAACTGAGTGTTTCTTTTCTGTTGTCAGAAGCTGATATTGATATTGGATCATGTTTTTTTTGCAGTTTAATGTGTACATTAAATGTTAAAATTTAAGAAAAAAAATCATTACAAAGTATGCCCTGCGATGGGCTGGCCCCCTCTCCTGGATTGTTCCCCACCTCGTGCCCATTGCTTCCGGGATAGGCTCCGGACCCCCCGCGACCCAGAAGGATAAGCGTTTTGGAAAATGGATGGATGGAAATCATTACAGAATCGTGCTCTCAATTATAAGCAAAAGAATTGTGATTTTCATTTTTTCAGAATTGTGTAGCCCTAATTAAATGTAATTGAGGTACAAAAATAACTCCATCTGTTCAAATATTGCCCTGCTACTTCTGTCTCTTTTCTCCACATATCTAGTTAGCATATCAAGTGCTTATGATCAACCAATCACCAAGCTATCGCTGTAAATACCTCCCCAGTAGTATTTTTTTTAAGAAAAAGTACCTAGTTTGGAGTGGGATTTTAAAAAAGCATTCTGGAACAGCCTATGAGGAACTACAATCAGGCTGAATTCCTGCGGTATGAACATAAGAAGAGATCCTGGTTCCATAAAAAGATTCTGCTTCCTGAAATATGTTCCTGTGGTGTGAAAGCACCCTATGTTTTTGTGTATTGCAGTGAGTCTGTGCTTCTGAGTTGGGCCCCTGAGTAAGGCTATAGAATTTCTGGGTCTAAATGCAATGTTTTTAAGTAGTGTTCATGAAGCTTTTTTTTCACAACTATCTTGCATTTACAAGCATTGGAAGTTTAGTCTTGCAGCACCTGTATTTAAGTTGGTTCCTTGATAGCTGTGCACTTGTTATATATTACCTACCTTGTTTCTGTGTTGCTTAAGACAAAAGCATCAGCTGAGTAATAAATGGAAATGTTCTCCTTCTAGGCCAGGTCAGGAAAATATGCCATGAGGAAGACTGTGGGGATGATGGGGAGCTGAAGATGAGCCACATTGTCATCCCAGCAGCATATCAGTCAGGAGTTACGCTTTTTGCTCTGCGGGTCTCTGTGGTGGGACAGCAGCTCCTGTGTACCCCTGAGTTGCCTCTTTTGTGAGTCAGCCTCTAACCTCAGCCTAGTGCAGCTGGGTCTGTCACCAACTGGCCTTACTGTGGATATAGTAGGCCTACTGTTAGTTATCGGACACACCTATGATTACTCTATATTAAGGCAGGGTACACTCTTGACACTCTAGATTTTAAGTATGAGGTCACAAACTATTTAGTGTCACGAAGCTTTCAGGAAACGCACCCCTGAAAATTTACCTAAATTTATCTAATGAAAATTTGTTACATTTTGTTGAGTTGTTACTTAATGGGGCGTTAATGTATAATGCGTTGTTACAAGAAGTGATTTGAAAGTCATCTTTGACCTGTATTAAATTAAAACTAGTAGAAAGAAAATAATCAGCCTTATCTATCTGTCTGTCTGTCTATTTTATTACTATTATTATTGTTATTATTATTCACACATATTCTGAATTTGGTGCATGCATGGAATTGTAATAAAACAGGGCCAACATAAGACTTGGAGTTGTGGAATGTCCAAAAACATCATGAATGACACTATCATGCTCCAGTATAGAAACAGCATCCACTGAAGGCCCTGTTGTTTATGAACAAGGATGGACTGATGCTCACCACTATGCACAAATCTTTGTGTTTCTGGAGTATGGGATTTTAGTGTCCAGGGGGGTGTTTTTCATATGTGGATTACTCGGATTTTTTGTTGACGATTTGGCATGATCTTGGATCTGTCGGGTTTTTCGAAACTCTTGCTGGATGTGTTGTCATAGCAGCACATCCAAATCCTCAAACCTGCTCAGAGCAGGTTTGTCCTATGTAATCAATGATTAGCTCACACTTAATCAGTGTCCATGCATGGAAATCCATTCAGTCATGGCCTCGCCATTCATGGATGAGCGACCAATTGCAATTGGTGCACAAATAATAAGAAGGAAATTTCAAATTGAGAGGGTTTTGTGTGATCGGCAAGATCCTTTATTGTTGCCGGATGATACTCTTTTTGAAAGATACCGCTTCAGCTGAGATGGAATATTATATCTTAAAGATTTATTAGCTCCGTATAGTAGAAGTCCAACTAGGGAAGGTAGGGCTCTCACAGTCACACAGACAATGTGCATTGCTTTGAGATATTTTGCAAGAGGCACTTTTTTTGTATGCTGTAGGCTATGCAGAAAATATATCAAAGATTACAGTTTGCCAGGCAATTCGCAAAGTCTGTTTGGGTCTGAAATATTTCCTTCAGGTCTTCATTGTTTTTCCTGGAGACCTGCTAGTGCAAGCAATTAAAGAGGCGTTTTATGCCATTGCAGGTAATGTATACGCAATAAAATTACAGTTGTATAAAGAATTGAAAAAATCACACTAATATTTTTATTACCCAGAATTTCCAAAGGTTTTGTCTCCCTTCTTCTTCTTAGCTTCAAAAGCGTTTTATAAATATTGAAGATTCCCTACATATACATAAAATTAACAAACACATACACATACGAATGTTTTTTTTTTTAACTTTACACATTGTTTGGATACATTTATTTTCTCACTTTACAAATTACTGTTTTGATAAACGTGCTTAGATGTGTTTAGTACAGTATATCTCTTCTTGTTTTATCCTGTTCATTTTGTGTTTATTGTAATTTGGTAATTTTTTGTGGCCGGGAAACAGTTAATTGGTTTTCCATTATTACTTGGGGAAAATTCGATCAGAACTTGAACGTTTAGGATTCGAACCCGAGTTCTGAACGGATTAAGTTTGAGTTCTGAGGTACTACTGCATATATACACTCACCTAAAGGATTATTAGGAACACCAGTTCAATTTCTCATTAATGCAATTATCTAATCAACCAATCACATGGCAGTTGCTTCAATGCATTTAGGGGTGTGGTCCTGGTCAAGACAATCTCCTGAACTCCAAACTGAATGTCAGAATGAGAAAGAAAGGTGATTTAAGTCTGAGTATTTCACAATC